ACTCATGTCTGACAAATCAAATACGAGTAAAGAAATATATATTATTGCCCATGTCTCACTCACCTGCCATGCCCCTACCACACGCGGCCCTCCGTAACTGCTCAAGTGACTTATGCAGAACTCAAGTCTCAGCTGACAAGTCCCAAGCACACGTCACTCGCAATTGCAATTCTATAAATAGAACTCAAAGTATGTTTGCTCTCATAACTTCTGTGTTACTTAGCAGAGTCCAAAGGAACTTTCAGCAAATGAGCTACATTGAATATGTGGAATGTAGTATTAAAGAATTCAAAACTGAAGCAGATACATATGAAAAGAAATGCAAAATTGGGAAGCTCTAGCTGCAAAGATGTGAGAGAAATGATTTACAAGCTGAAGCTCGATTACATGGAAACGGGAAAAGTTATCGATCATTTGAGACAAACGTGATCTGCGAGACTTATAGAGGGAACTACGTAACAAATTTGATTTCTCAAGATGTTACAAGTTCCAAAATTGGCGGACAGACAGAAGAATGACCAGAAGGATTGACGGAAAGACAGACGGAAAGACAGACAGAGAGAAGGATTGGCGTCAAATCAGACAGAATGACGGACAGATAGAAATAAAGGCAGACAAAAGAACGGAAAGATAGAAGGACAGGCAGGGAGAAGGACGGACAGACAGAAGATTTTACGGAAAGACAGGAATGCGGAAAGAAGGACGAACAGATAGAAAAGCGGACGGAAAGACAGTCAGACAAAATGACGGATAGAGAGAGAGAGAGAGAGTGAAACTGACATAACTATGGACGGACAGACAGAAGGACAGGTAGATGGACAGGCAGACAAAAGGATTGACGGAAGACAGACAGATCGACAGAAGGACGCACAAACAGACCGTCGACTCGACTGTTTTTCCTAGTGAATATCACTTCAATTTTATACAAACGGAAACGCCTTCTCCTGCCTACTTCACACATTTCAGCAAAACCATTATACCCGGAATTTTCATTCTCGCTCAGTCCAAGGCATGCGAATACTAGTTACACAATGCCGTTTAATTTATAGCCTCTTTAAAATATTGGGAAGTAAAAAACCCCTTTACTTCTCGAACTCAGTTCGTTAGAATAAAGCGTAGCACACATAGAGAAGCTAGTTGAGTAGTACGAATATTGTGTATGTTAAAGTAGAGGACGAGGTAATATTCGTGCACGGAGTTAACGGGTGTCGCAATGTGTGTCAACGTTACCCGAAACCAAACCGCAGCAGCGCTGCTTCTCCGGAACGTAACGACACTCGCTCAGAATCGCGTCGCTCAGCTCATTGGACGTAATCAGTTGTTAGCGTGTAGTGCGCGAGTGAACATTGAGTTGGCTATGCACACCTTAGAGCCGAATGGAACGCGCAGCTTTGCTGGCGATTTGTCGAAGAGGCTCTTGGACTGCTTTCAGTTCACACCTGAGCAACTGGCCGGGCGTGGAGAGCAGCCGTACATCTCAGACCTGGTGTCGGATAAGGTAGCGCGCGGCGAGTTCTTCTATGGCATTGAGATAACCGCCCAGAGCGGTGGCAAGCTCACCTGCGTGGACTTCAACCGGTTTCAGCCGATTCTGCCCACCCTTATCAGCATCGTGTGGCTGTGCCACTATTGGGACGTAACGCCCATGGAGCGGGTGGATTCGTTGCAGATGATACGACACCTGGAGCAATATATACCGGCCATGCCCCACTTCAGCATCTACATGATGACCAAGGAGCGCATCGATGAGTTTCTCGCTCTCAACTTTAAGAATCTGCTGGCAGTGAGAGGCAACAGGTGGGACGATAATCAATTCTATACCTACGGGTATCAGCTAGTCGAGCATGCTCGACGTGCTCGCAAGTGTGAGTCTTCTTCCTCTCCCTCTCTCACTGAGCTTCATAACTGAGACGCTTTCTCCTCTTGCCACAGCCAACTTAACAATTGCCATTCCGGGATATCCGCTGTGCCACGTGGGCTCGGATAGGAGGAGCTCCGATATGCTAAAAAACTTAGAGCACTTAAAGCAGAAGGTAAGAGCTCTTCGAAAGACATGTGTCTTAATATACCCTGTGCATTTGTGGTTCATGGGTGCTTTGGTGCTATGACAAAGCATGTAACATGACCTTAATATACCCTGTATAATAGATGATTTGAGTGGGTTTAACGAATGGATGAATTAATTAAAGATATATCTTTCCCCTGAGACTCCATTGGGTATATGACTTTCAGTATAAACAGAATTTCTGAAATGATATATCAATAGCCCAGCTCTTGTCTGAGTACTACGTCCAGGGTATTTTCTAATCGCGCCCTTATCAACGAGATCAGTTTTGTTTTGAACCCGTTAATTATGTGCGCTTATCAGCTTCAGTCTTATATTTGTTTTCACTTTTGCAGATTGATAACGGGGCGGATCTTATAATCACTCAGATGTGCTACTCGGCCGAGTTGCTAGTCGAATATTTGAGATGCGTGCGCAACGCAGGCATCGTAACACCTATAATGGTGGGCGTGGTAGTGCCCGAAAGTTTGAAATCCTATAAGACAATTCAAGCGATCACAAGCATCGAATTGCCTGCGGAGAAACGTGCCGAGCTGAGGAAAGTGGAGAGTGACAATGCAAAAGTGCGCGAATATTTTGTCCAATTGGCATTAGGGCTTATTCAGAAGGTGCTGGACGCAAAGCTAGACGTGTATGGTGTTCAGTTTTATACGATGAATCGCTTTGGCGGAGTGCACGAAGTGTTAAACAGGCTGCAGCAGATGGGCATATTGAAGGAAACGCCACAGGAAGCTTGCGGTGATTCTTAATCAAATTCGTATTCCATATGACGCAAGCAGATGTATAGCCAAAATTTAGCCAATTTTACATACTCACTAATGATCAAAATTTTTAGTTTAAACAGAGATGATCAGAATGTTTAGTTTAAAGAGAAAGAACAAAAATAAAACTAATATGCAATAAATGTATGTGAAAAACAAGAAAGGCTTAACTATCGATATAAAATACCACCACTAACCAAAAACAACAATCGGATAATTTTTGAAGTTGTTACAGATACGGCAGGCAAGACGTTCATCCGAAAACATAAATACAAATACACATATATACATATATCCATACATACGAATACGCATTCAAAATACCAAGCTCGTCGACGCTTAGATACCCTTCATATCAATAATCTATGCATAAAAGATCTCTTTATATAAGAGAGCTGAAATCTTTGACAAATTTGCAATGCCGCTCGTTTTACAAGGAGGGAAAATTTAAAGCACTTACCGTACATGTACATACACACATGCATGCATACTTTAGAGAGAGCGAAATTTCATGTAAGGAAAAAAACCGAAACACAAAGTTCCGATTACCTCTACTTAACTAAGCTTATGTTATGTCGTTCAGCTCTCTTCCTTGTTGGCGAAGCGAGAGTATGAGTTGAAAAATGTTTTGTGTACAGTATGGCAGTAAAATATTTGTACACATTATTTGTTAATTGAAGTTCACTTGAATGCAAATATATCCAAAAATTATTACCGTTAATACAGTTTATTGTAAATATAATCAAATATTATTGTTATTATTATTATTATTATTATTATTATTATTATTATCATTATTATTATTATTATTATTATATTTGTTTTTATCTTTTAACTTATATTTGTTCTAGATTAATGCATTAGAGAGCTTTGGGTGGTAATGCCCGACTGGGAAATACCTTGATCTTCGTCCCATGTAAGCAGTTAACGTTCTATCTTCACACTCACACTCACACTTATCTGTATCTAACTTACCAATTATTTCCGACTAACGGAAACATTTTCATCTATAAGATTCGAACTCATGTCTGACAAATCAAATACGAGTAAAGAAATATATATTATTGCCCATGTCTCACTCACCTGCCATGCCCCTACCACACGCGGCCCTCCGTAACTGCTCAAGTGACTTATGCAGAACTCAAGTCTCAGCTGACAAGTCCCAAGCACACGTCACTCGCAATTGCAATTCTATAAATAGAACTCAAAGTAGGGTTGACGCATTTCAAAGTTCCTTTTGACCCAATGTTTGCTCTCATAACTTCTGTGTTACTTAGCAGAGTCCAAAGGAACTTTCAGCAAATGAGCCATATTGAATATGTGGAATGTAGTATTAAAGAATTCAAAACAGAAGCAGATACATATGAAAAGAAATGCAAAATTGGGAAGCTCTAGCTGCAAAGATGTGAGAGAAATGATTTACAAGCTGAAGCTCGATTACATGGAGACGGGAAAAGTTATCGATCATTTGAGACAAACGTGATCTGCGAGACTTATAGAGGGAACTACGTAACAAATTTGATTTCTCAAGATGTTACAAGTTCCAAAATTGGCGGACAGACAGAAGAATGACCAGAAGGATTGACGGAAAGACAGACGGAAAGACAGACAGAGAGAAGGATTGGCGTCAAATCAGACAGAATGACGGACAGATAGAAATAAAGGCAGACAAAAGAACGGAAAGATAGAAGGACAGGCAGGGAGAAGGACGGACAGACAGAAGATTTGACGGAAAGACAGGAATGCGGAAAGAAGGACGAACAGATAGAAAAGCGGACGGAAAGACAGTCAGACAAAATGACGGATAGAGAGAGAGAGAGAGAGTGAAACTGACATAACTATGGACGGACAGACAGAAGGACAGGTAGAGACAAGGATTGATGGAAAGATAGACAGAACGACGGACAGATAGAAGTACGGATAGAGAGATGGACAGGCAGACAAAAGGATTGACGGAAGACAGACAGATCGACAGAAGGACGCACAAACAGACCGTCGACTCGACTGTTTTTCCTAGTGAATATCACTTCAATTTTATACAAACGGAAACGCCTTCTCCTGCCTACTTCACACATTTCAGCAAAACCATTATACCCGGAATTTTCATTCTCGCTCAGTCCAAGGCATGCGAATACTAGTTACACAATGCCGTTTAATTTATAGCCTCTTTAAAATATTGGGAAGTAAAAAACCCCTTTACTTCTCGAACTCAGTTCGTTAGAATAAAGCGTAGCACACATAGAGAAGCTAGTTGAGTAGTACGAATATTGTGTATGTTAAAGTAGAGGACGAGGTAATATTCGTGCACGGAGCTATCGGGCGTCGCAATGTGTGTCAACGGGACCCGAAACCAAACCGCAGCAGCGCTGCTTCTCCGGCACGTAAGGACAATCGCCCAGCATCGCGTCTCTCAGCTCATTGGACGTAATCAGTTGTTAGCCCGTAGTGCGCGAGTGAACATTGAGTTGGCTATGCACGCCTTAGAGCCGAATGGAACGCGCAGATTTGGTGGCGATTTGTCGAAGAGGCTCTTGGACTGCTTTCAGTTCACACCTGAGCAACTGGCCGGGCGTGGAGAGCAGCCGTACATCTCGGACCTGGTGTCGGATAAGGTAGCGCGCGGCGAGTTCTTCTATGGCATTGAGATAAGCGCGCAGAGCGGTGGCAGGCTCACCTGCGTGGACTTCAACCGGTTTCAGCCGATTCTGCCCGCCCTTATCAGCATCGTGTGGCTGTGCCACTATTGGGATGTAACGCCCATGGAGCGGGTGGATTCGTTGCAGATGATACGGCACCTGGAGCCATATATACCGGCCATGCCCAACTTCAGCATCTACATGATGACCAAGGAGCGCATCGATGAGTTTCTCGCTCTCAACTTTAAGAATCTGCTGGCAGTGAGAGGCAACAGGTCGGACGATAGTCAGTTCTATACCTACGGGTATCAGCTAGTCGAGCATGCTCGACGTGCTCGCAAGTGTGAGTCTTCTTCCTCTCCCTCTCTCACTGAGCTTCATAACTGAGACGTTTTCTCCTCTTGCCACAGCCAACTTAACAATTGCCATTCCGGGATATCCGCTGTGCCACGTGGGCTCGGATAGGAGGAGCTCCGATATGCTAATACACTTAGAGCACTTAAAGCAGAAGGTAAGAGCTCTTCGAAAGACATGTCTTGATATACCCTGTGCATTTGTGGTGCATGGGTGCTTTGGTGCTATGAAAAAGCATGTAACATGGCCTTAATATACCCTGTATAATAGATGATTTGAGTGGGTTTAACGAATGGATGAATTAATTAAAGATATATCTTTCCCCTGAGACTCCATTGGGTATATGGCTTTCAGTATAAACAGAATTTCTGAAATGATATATCAATAGCCCAGCTCTTGTCTGAGTACTACGTACAGGGTATTTTCTAATCGCGTCCTTATCAAGGAGATCGGTTTTGTTTTGAACCCGTTAACCTTATACGATAGTTGCTTATCAGCTCGGCTCTGACAATTATTTGCGCTTATCAGCTTCAGTCTTATATGTATTTGTTTTCACTTTTGCAGATTGATAACGGGGCGGATCTTATAATGACTCAGATGTGCTACACGGCCGAGATGATTGTCGAATATTTGAGATGCGTGCGCAACGAAGGCATTGTTACGCCCATAATGGTGGGCGTGGGAGTGCCCGAAAGTTTGAAATCCTATCAGATAATGCAATCGATCACAGGCATCGAGCTGCCTGCGGAGGAACGTGCCGAGCTGAGGAAAGTGGAGAGTGACAATGCAAAAGTGCGCGAATATTTTGTCCAATTGGCATTAGGAGTTATTCAGAAGGTGCTGGACGCCAAGCTAGACGTGTATGGTATTCAGTTTTATGCGATGAATCGCTTTGGCGGAGTGTACGAAGTGTTAAAGAGGCTGCGGCAGATGGGCATATTGAAAGAAACGCGACGGGAAGCTTGCGGAGATTCTTAATCAAATTCGTATTCCATATGACGCAAGCAGATGTATAGCCAAAAGTCAGCCAATTTTACTTACTCACTAATGATCAAAATTTTTAGTTTAAACAGAGATGATCACAATGTTTAGGTTAAAGAGAAAGAATAAAAATAAAAATAAAATGCATTAAGTGTATGGAAAAAACAAGAAAGGCTTAACTATCGATATAAAATTCCATCACTAACCCGAAACATATCCATACATACGAACACGCTTTCAAAATACCAAGCGCTTCGACGCTTAAATACCCTTCATATCAATAATCTATGCATAAAAGATCTCTTTATATAAGATAGCTGAAATCTTTGACAAATTTGCAATGCCGCTCGTTTTACAAGGAGGGAAAATTTAAAGCACTTACCGTACATGTACATACACACATGCATGCATACTTTAGAGAGAGCGAAATTTCATGTAAGGAAAAAAACCGAAACACAAAGTTCCGATTACCTCTACTTAACTAAGCTTATGTTATGTCGTTCAGCTCTCTTCCTTGTTGGCGAAGCGAGAGTATGAGTTGAAAAATGTTTTGTGTACAGTATGGCAGTAAAATATTTGTACACATTATTTGTTAATTGAAGTTCACTTGAATGCAAATATATCCAAAAATTATTACCGTTAATACAGTTTATTGTAAATATAATCAAATATTATTGTTATTATTATTATTATTATTATTATTATTATTATTATCATTATTATTATTATTATTATTATATTTGTTTTTATCTTTTAACTTATATTTGTTCTAGATTAATGCATTAGAGAGCTTTGGGTGGTAATGCCCGACTGGGAAATACCTTGATCTTCGTCCCATGTAAGCAGTTAACGTTCTATCTTCACACTCACACTCACACTTATCTGTATCTAACTTACCAATTATTTCCGACTAACGGAAACACTTTCATCTATAAGATTCGAACTCATGTCTGACAAATCAAATACGAGTAAAGAAATATATATTATTGCCCATGTCTCACTCACCTGCCATGCCCCTACCACACGCGGCCCTCCGTAACTGCTCAAGTGACTTATGCAGAACTCAAGTCTCAGCTGACAAGTCCCAAGCACACGTCACTCGCAATTGCAATTCTATAAATAGAACTCAAAGTAGGGTTGACGCATTTCAAAGTTCCTTTTGACCCAATGTTTGCTCTCATAACTTCTGTGTTACTTAGCAGAGTCCAAAGGAACTTTCAGCAAATGAGCCATATTGAATATGTGGAATGTAGTATTAAAGAATTCAAAACAGAAGCAGATACATATGAAAAGAAATGCAAAATTGGGAAGCTCTAGCTGCAAAGATGTGAGAGAAATGATTTACAAGCTGAAGCTCGATTACATGGAAACGGGAAAAGTTATCGATCATTTGAGACAAACGTGATCTGCGAGACTTATAGAGGGAACTACGTAACAAATTTGATTTCTCAAGATGTTACAAGTTCCAAAATTGGCGGACAGACAGAAGAATGACCAGAAGGATTGACGGAAAGACAGACGGAAAGACAGACAGAGAGAAGGATTGGCGTCAAATCAGACAGAATGACGGACAGATAGAAATAAAGGCAGACAAAAGAACGGAAAGATAGAAGGACAGGCAGGGAGAAGGACGGACAGACAGAAGATTTGACGGAAAGACAGGAATGCGGAAAGAAGGACGAACAGATAGAAAAGCGGACGGAAAGACAGTCAGACAAAATGACGGATAGAGAGAGAGAGAGAGAGTGAAACTGACATAACTATGGACGGACAGACAGAAGGACAGGTAGAGACAAGGATTGATGGAAAGATAGACAGAACGACGGACAGATAGAAGTACGGATAGAGAGATGGACAGGCAGACAAAAGGATTGACGGAAGACAGACAGATCGACAGAAGGACGCACAAACAGACCGTCGACTCGACTGTTTTTCCTAGTGAATATCACTTCAATTTTATACAAACGGAAACGCCTTCTCCTGCCTACTTCACACATTTCAGCAAAACCATTATACCCGGAATTTTCATTCTCGCTCAGTCCAAGGCATGCGAATACTAGTTACACAATGCCGTTTAATTTATAGCCTCTTTAAAATATTGGGAAGTAAAAAACCCCTTTACTTCTCGAACTCAGTTCGTTAGAATAAAGCGTAGCACACATAGAGAAGCTAGTTGAGTAGTACGAATATTGTGTATGTTAAAGTAGAGGACGAGGTAATATTCGTGCACGGAGCTATCGGGCGTCGCAATGTGTGTCAACGGGACCCGAAACCAAACCGCAGCAGCGCTGCTTCTCCGGCACGTAAGGACAATCGCCCAGCATCGCGTCTCTCAGCTCATTGGACGTAATCAGTTGTTAGCCCGTAGTGCGCGAGTGAACATTGAGTTGGCTATGCACGCCTTAGAGCCGAATGGAACGCGCAGATTTGGTGGCGATTTGTCGAAGAGGCTCTTGGACTGCTTTCAGTTCACACCTGAGCAACTGGCCGGGCGTGGAGAGCAGCCGTACATCTCGGACCTGGTGTCGGATAAGGTAGCGCGCGGCGAGTTCTTCTATGGCATTGAGATAAGCGCGCAGAGCGGTGGCAGGCTCACCTGCGTGGACTTCAACCGGTTTCAGCCGATTCTGCCCGCCCTTATCAGCATCGTGTGGCTGTGCCACTATTGGGATGTAACGCCCATGGAGCGGGTGGATTCGTTGCAGATGATACGGCACCTGGAGCCATATATACCGGCCATGCCCAACTTCAGCATCTACATGATGACCAAGGAGCGCATCGATGAGTTTCTCGCTCTCAACTTTAAGAATCTGCTGGCAGTGAGAGGCAACAGGTCGGACGATAGTCAGTTCTATACCTACGGGTATCAGCTAGTCGAGCATGCTCGACGTGCTCGCAAGTGTGAGTCTTCTTCCTCTCCCTCTCTCACTGAGCTTCATAACTGAGACGCTTTCTCCTCTTGCCACAGCCAACTTAACAATTGCCATTCCGGGATATCCGCTGTGCCACGTGGGCTCGGATAGGAGGAGCTCCGATATGCTAATACACTTAGAGCACTTAAAGCAGAAGGTAAGAGCTCTTCGAAAGACATGTCTTGATATACCCTGTGCATTTGTGGTGCATGGGTGCTTTGGTGCTATGAAAAAGCATGTAACATGGCCTTAATATACCCTGTATAATAGATGATTTGAGTGGGTTTAACGAATGGATGAATTAATTAAAGATATATCTTTCCCCTGAGACTCCATTGGGTATATGGCTTTCAGTATAAACAGAATTTCTGAAATGATATATCAATAGCCCAGCTCTTGTCTGAGTACTACGTACAGGGTATTTTCTAATCGCGTCCTTATCAAGGAGATCGGTTTTGTTTTGAACCCGTTAACCTTATACGATAGTTGCTTATCAGCTCGGCTCTGACAATTATTTGCGCTTATCAGCTTCAGTCTTATATGTATTTGTTTTCACTTTTGCAGATTGATAACGGGGCGGATCTTATAATGACTCAGATGTGCTACACGGCCGAGATGATTGTCGAATATTTGAGATGCGTGCGCAACGAAGGCATCGTTACGCCCATAATGGTGGGCGTGGGAGTGCCCGAAAGTTTGAAATCCTATCAGATAATGCAATCGATCACAGGCATCGAGCTGCCTGCGGAGGAACGTGCCGAGCTGAGGAAAGTGGAGAGTGACAATGCAAAAGTGCGCGAATATTTTGTCCAATTGGCATTAGGAGTTATTCAGAAGGTGCTGGACGCCAAGCTAGACGTGTATGGTATTCAGTTTTATGCGATGAATCGCTTTGGCGGAGTGTACGAAGTGTTAAAGAGGCTGCGGCAGATGGGCATATTGAAAGAAACGCGACGGGAAGCTTGCGGAGATTCTTAATCAAATTCGTATTCCATATGACGCAAGCAGATGTATAGCCAAAAGTCAGCCAATTTTACTTACTCACTAATGATCAAAATTTTTAGTTTAAACAGAGATGATCACAATGTTTAGGTTAAAGAGAAAGAATAAAAATAAAAATAAAATGCATTAAGTGTATGGAAAAAACAAGAAAGGCTTAACTATCGATATAAAATTCCATCACTAACCCGAAACATATCCATACATACGAACACGCTTTCAAAATACCAAGCGCTTCGACGCTTAAATACCCTTCATATCAATAATCTATGCATAAAAGATCTCTTTATATAAGATAGCTGAAATCTTTGACAAATTTGCAATGCCGCTCGTTTTAAAAGGAGGGAAATGTAGCTGAAAATTTAAAGCACTTACCGTACATGTACATACACACATGCATGCATACTTTAGAGAGAGCGAAATTTCATGTAAGGAAAAAAACCGAAACACAAAGTTCCGATTACCTCCACTACTTAACTAAGCTTATGTTATGTCGTTCAGCGCTCTTCCTTGTTGGCGAAGCGAGAGTATGAGCTAGTCAAACGCATTGTTGAAAAATGTTTTGTTCTACATGTCCTATGTACAGTATGGCAGTAAAGTGTTTATACACATTATTTGTTCATTGAAGTTCACTTGAATGCAAATATATCCAAAAATTAAAAATTAATTAAAAAAATTAAATTCGTTAACACAGTTTGTTTGAAATAAAATCAATTAAATGCATAATTATTTAAATAATTAAGTAAAAGATATAATGCCCATAACCCAATGCTCACTTTTTGTGTTGTGGTACAAGTGTTTTCGAAACCACTGTCAATTGATTTTAGCGCTTTGCTTTTAAGCAGATACCGTTAGAATTGTGCAAAATTATCCTCTTTTCTCTCTTCTGTGCCATGCTTACTTAACGATGTATTTAGCCTCTCATTCGATATGCAGGGCATTCTATATTTAAAATGCACTACAGTCTGGCAACGCTTTCAGCGCACTTCGAAAATAATGCAACTGCTGCAATCTGTAATAAGAATATGTTAAGAAGCACCAAAGGGACAATTGAAGTCGAGGAGATCTCTGCTGCGACCTATGCGGAGTTTCTGCTAAAGCACGAACATATTTTAAAGGACGAGGTGACTATGCTGAGCTACAAGGCAGCTATCGAAGCAAATGCGGAACTCTTTCATCAGGCCACAGTGCTCGAAGTGGGCTGTGGCAGTGGCGTGCTCTCCTTGTGGGCGGCCCAGCAGGGCGCTGCAAAGGTAATTGCCGTGGAGTCGAGTGCCGTGTGCCAAGTCGCGCGCCAGCTGGTGAGGCACAATCGAATGGAGCATGTGATCGAGGTGATCCAAGAAAATGTGCAGCAACTACAGCTGCCCCCAGTCGACATCATCATCTCCAAGTGGATGGGGTAAGCATGGTCAGCTGGTAAGCTTCTCTATAGTGCTGCCTACACTTTTAGCGCTTGTCTGATGTATAGCTCCGCTTTGGAGGCTGTGATATATGCCCGGGACAAATGGCTCAAACCTGGTGGCTGCATATTTCCTCACCAGGCCAATCTCTATATGGTAGCAGCAGACCAGCCACGGGAGCAGCAATCTCTGCCAGACTATTGGACACGTTACTCCGGCCTCGATTTGCGTCTTGCTTGGCGAATCATGCAACAAACACCTGTTATCGACTGCCTGGATGCTGCTCAGGTGATCACCCAATGGCAGCTGCTGCGTCGCTTCGATCTGAGCACGCTAAGCAGCCACGAGCTGAGCTTCACTGTGCCCTTCAAGCTGCGCGCCTTGCGCCAATCCCTGGCCAAATGGTTTGTGCTCTACTTTGACTTTCGTTTCCCAAAGCTAAAGCCAATTACAACGAGTCCAAGTGCTCCGCCTACCCAATGGAAGCAAGCGCTCTTCCACATCGATGCTCATCTCCCACTCTGCATTAGAGATGTTGTGAAAGGTACATTTCAGGTGAAGAGGGCCGTACGTCATCTGGATTTTGACATCGATTGGAGCTTCTCGAATGAATTGGTTCAAGTTCAAATGCATAAGCAAATCTATCGCATGCAGGCAGGGCCGGATGCTGTGTAGCTGATATTGAAGATCACTAAAATCTTTCAACTTATATATGTATATTATAAGACTTGACCTATATGAGTTATATATATAGAAATAGATATATTTTATAATATTAGAAAGAACTAAAAATGTTTTGTTTTTACATTATTTACATAAGGAACATATTAAACAATTACATATTATTTCAAATATGAATTTATGTAATAATTTAAGATAATATAATTCCAATAGGATCCTTTTTCCTTATTCTAACTATATGAATAATCGATAATCTATGTATTTTAAAAACTAAATAAAGTTGAATACATAGTAATTATAATGATAGCTTAAAATAAATATGTATTAATAATATAATATTATAATATAACATAGAATATGTATTTATTTATGTTTTACATATAATTAAATATAAATTAAGAATTTTACTATTGATCAAAACTAAATTAAAATATATTTTAAATAAGCTCGTATCGAAAATGTATTGAAAATATTTATATAAAATATTTTCGCAATGATAAAAATAAGTCAGCAATGATATAAAAAAACTAAAATGTTTTCTAAATACTCTGCGTATTAACGAATTCATTCATTCATAACTAATTCATTTTACAAAAACTTCATTTCATTTAATTTCATTATTAAAAATATTAAATTGTTTATAAAACAAAATATTATGACATATATTTTATATATTTATAGCTAACTTTCCTCAAAAAAAAAAAATAAAAAATGTTTACTAGAAAATTATATTTATTACTTTTTTATAAATAAAATAAGATAAAAGCTGTATATATGCATAAAATATTTATAACAGTAATTCTTATTTATCTATAGATAATTTTCCTCAACTTAAAAATTTTATATTAATTTTTTTAAACTTAAATTAAGATGTTTTGAAATGAAATTCACAAATTAGAGAAAAAGAATTATTTTATTATTTTTTTTTTATACATAAGATATTATATACATAAGATATTTTTTATATTATTATTATATTTTCTTTATTATTTATTATCATAATCTTAAGATATATATGATATATTTTTATATAGTTTTCATGCTAAAACTGATATCTTCTACTCCTGCTTGACAATCAATCAATAGTAATTTCTCTGGCTAAAACCAAGTGAGATGACAAATGATTTTTCCCTGGAAGATTTCAGATGCTGCAGCTGCACTCCGCTGGCGGCGGCAACTGAAGCGCAGCAGATGGTGGCACATGCAAAAAGATGAAAAGAGTTAAGAGCTCAGACACTTGAGCAGATAGTCGGTATCCTTATGGGAGTTGCACTCGCAGAGAGTGAGAGAGATAGAGGAAAGGTGAAGGGAGGGGGTGGGCGAAGGGAGGGATGCTCAGCTACTTTGTGCGTCATCATTGTCATCAATGTCAGTCAATGTCAGCGACGTTTCAAATCGTAATGCGTAAATATTTCTTCTTCTTTTGCGTCTCCTCAATGGAAATGATGCGTCATGGCACCTTTTGCGACCAGGCAAGGGCGGCGGGTGTGGCACACAAGGGTTGTCGACGAAGGCGCATTGCGAAAGCCTTTTTGACAAAAACAACATTTGACATTTGTAACTTGCGGTTGATCGGCCATGGTGAAAGGATAAACGTTGCCTGGCTGCGGGACTACCCCTACTCCACAGCCTCAACTCTAACTCCCAACCATCATTGTCTCTCTCACTCTCTCTCCCTCTCTGTCGCTCTTTAGGGGTTGTGCCAGCATCTTTGCTACTTCGCATTCTTGCAGCTGTTGTTATCGCTGCTGAGCTTGAAAAATGATGTGCGAATTTTTGTGTTTCTTGCAACAACATCAACAACACACTCTAATGGCCGAGCAGCGCGCACTTTTCTCAATTATTTATTGACAATTAAGCCAAACAAATGTCGTCGTTAGAAAGGACAATAAGCGTATATTACGCATACGACACGCTGTGCAATGTCCTTTGACCCCTCTCACTCTGCTCCGTAGCAGAACTTTCTCTTTTTCTTTCACTTTCTTCTTTTTCGTTGCAGTTAACTTGGATGAATTTATCCATTATTTTATTTCTATTCTTTTTCATTTATTATTTAAATTATTATTTATATTGTTTTTTTTTTTTTTTTTTTTGTGTGTATTTGTATTTCAATTTCTATTTTTAAAATATATTTTTTTAATTTTATTTTATTTAAATTTGTTTATTTTATTTCGTAAATATTGATTTTTATAATTTTATTTAAACCGCTATTTAGATTTTAATATATATTGTTATATATTTAGCATATTATTATAATATTCTTCTTCTTGTAATTTTTTAATTTTTGTCTATTGAAAATTTTAATTTTTATATTTGTTTTTTTTTAAATTTTATTCATAAATTTATTCATATTTTTATTCCTTTTTTATACTAGATCTTTATTTTGGTCTGACCGTTATTTTCCAATTGGAATCGTGCATGCATGTGTGTATGCACATATGCAATTGGATAGCCGAGGTATATTCGATACACTGCCTTGGCGAATGTGTTTTGATTCAGAATCTGAAAAACAAGAAATTGTTAACTTTATTTTATTATTTCCATTTTAGCTTCGAAATAGCATTAATAAACTGGAAATAATTGTTGTTAAATTTAAGCTTAATAACTGATAATTTGTTGAATGCTATAACCATTTAAAGCTCGAATTAAAATAAATAATAAATTTACATACATACATAAATACACACACACACATACATACATGTATACATTGATATTATATATTATAAATTAATTTGCAAGCGAATGCAAATTGTTCGACCAGTTGGAAGTTTGTTTGTCCACTGCGAATAGGGGGGCTCGTTGCCAGAAAGTTGAGTCATCGAATGGCTAGAAAACTTGGATGTTTTCCAGGAGCTCAGAGTCATTGTAGCTGAAGCTTATGACACACATACATGCATACACACATACACATACATGCAATGTGTGTGCTAGCCTCTTATTCGTTTCTTTCCCCTTGATTTGTTATGCGTCGTTTAATTTGATTTCAAAACAAATAAGCGTAAAATGAGGAAAGCAGCGATAAACAAAACTAAAAAGCAAGCAAACCAACCAGCACACACACACGCTCATACAAAGTCAGGCCTATGGATTGTATCCGTATCTGTGCATCTACAAAGCAAAAATGAAAAACAAAGCAACAACAACAACAGCAACAACAAGCGAATCAAGACAACACTCAAATAATCCGCTGCGGCACAGCCCCCATGCGAAGCCACAGCGAAGACAAAGACAGAAACAATGAAACAAGAAGAAAAAAATAAAGTTTGCGCTAGTGTGTTGTTGGGGGTGGGGTGGCGGAGGCAGAGGCTGGCAAACGATCTGCCGAACAAAGGAGCGGCCAGCAACAGCAAAAGCGATGAGCGAAAAAAACAACAGCAGCACCAAGAGCAATAACAGCAACAACAGCATCAAGCACTGTGTATAAGAAAATGGAAAAAATGAGATAGAGGCGAAACAGTCGAGCCAAGTCACGTTCACGTTTCGCTGGGTCGAGTGATCTGGTCGGCTGTCAGCGCGAGTAACGGCGGCAACGAAACAGCTGAGGCACACGGCATGCATATGCGAGTGTGTGTTGAGTGCGAGAGCGCAAAAATGAGTGATCTAATTAAGAGTAAAAGAGCAGCTGACTTGGAGTGAACTTGTCTATAAGAGAACGTTAGCGAAGAGCGCTTGAGCAAGAGTGAAAACCACAAAACTGTGCTCTCTGTATATAAGAGTATATGAGTGTTAGAGCGCAGCTACACACAGCTGTGAGTTAAATGTTAAGGGATTTATTATGCAGCGGTACGATAATGAAAGAAAACGTAAGAGATACAAATTAGACAATTTTAGTCACATTGCGCACACAATGAGCTGTATTTTTATTCTGCGCTCTTGAGTGCATTTGTATTGAGGCAGATCTAAGCGTGCGCTCGTTAGTGATCGGCGCTGAGCGCTGCGCTTAATAAAAAAATACTCAGCAAGTGACTGAGTATGCGAGTGAGCGTGCAAGAGTGAGAGCAGCAGGAGAGCGACAATAAATAGCAAACGGGTTGAGGTAGTGTAGTTCGTGTTGTTTATGCCTGTGTGCATATAATATATACAAATTTATGTGTGTACACACACAGAGCGCAAGCAGCGCAGCGCAGCTGAGCTGAAAATAAAAAATATATATATGTATGCATAAAAAAACAATACATTTGTTTACGGCAAACAATAAATACTGTGCCGGCAAGGGACGCGGGGCAGGGGGCAGCGTTGCATACTAACTAACTGCATGCATCTAGTGGCAGCATGTGGCACGATGTTTTGTCGTATCTGCATCTATACATTGATTTTATTATAGTTTTTCCTCTAATAATGCACACACACATTTGTATACGTATGTGTGTATGTGTGCGCGTGTGTATGGCGCAACGACCGATAGCCCGCTTATACATATCTACATATGCATGTGCATACATAGAGTATGCATGTATACATGCATGTGTGTGCGTGTATGTGTATGCAGCTATTTTGCTACTTATTTAGCTAAAGCTGTAGCCGTAGCTGTAGCTGTAGCCATGCTCTTGAACAATTTACGCTAGAAAAAGTCGCTGCGCTATTTGCGACCTGCCTCACAACAATTTGCATACGCGCGTTCTTATAATACACAAGCAAACAAACACACACACACACGCGCAAATGCACGCACACAGGCTGCAGATCGAGCGTGAGCGAGCGAGCGAGCTGGCGAGAGCAGCTAAGTACACATAAACACACATACACATAGGTGCGCATTAATTGGGCGCATGCAATGGGCAGAAATTGGCTCATGTGTAATTTACGCGAAATTGTAACAATTTTTGAATTAAGTCACATTGTGTTTTTGTTTTTATTTTTTATTTTTGCCTGCGGATCAATAAACGTAAGTGCAAACGGCGAGGGACAGAAGCAACTTCGATTGGGCAAGAGGCCAAAGGTCTGTCGCATGTTCCATAAAGTACGCTAAAATGGGAGAGAGTGGGAGAGCA